CCCGCGCGAGTTCCCCTGCGATGCCGAGGTCCTGGCGGCGAAATCGGCCGAGATCGACCTTCTAACGCGGCGGGAGGCGGAAACGGCGGAGGCGCGGATTCGCCTGCAGGGCCTGCAGGCCGAGGCCGAGGCGGCGGGGCTGCGGGAGGGGATGCTCCTCCAGCGCGCGCGCGCCGAGATCGTCGCGAAGGAGGACTCCGCCGCGGATCTCTGGCGCTCCCGCGTGGCTTTGGAGCGAGCGACGCAGGCGCGCCTGGCGAAGGAGCGCGAACTTCGCCTTTTCATCCTCGACTCGAAGCTCGCCAGCGCGGCGGAGATGCAGTCGCTCGAGGAGGCGAAACTCCGCGCGGAGCGCGAACGCCGCGAGCGCTGCGTCGACAGCCTCATGGCGGAGCAGGCGTGGGTCTTGGGGAAGCGGCTGTCGGACGACGAGCTCGCGCGGATGGAAAGCACCGCGGAGGCGCGAATGAGCGCCGCCCTGGAGAGGCTTGTCAGCTCAGATTGTACCGATTTACCCACGCTTGCCATCCACACCGCGGGGACGGGGTGGAATGAGCTGGAAGCCCCATCTGTCGGGGAAATTCCACCACCCCTCTCCGCATCGCTTTCCTTCCCGGATACGGTGGAGGCCGAAGTGAGAGGAAGCCCTGACCGGCAACCTTGCCATGAGGCAAAATCGCACGAAGCGGAGGCGCGACCGCAGCTTTCCTATTATAATTCAGCGGAATTGTCCTCTATGGAAATGCCTCAACGCGTGATAGCTGCGAATTTTATCACGAACAAGAAATCCATGACCTCGGACACAACTTGTGGTCTTTCCGGAGCTGCATCCAGCGGTCTTGATTTCACTCTTTCCACAAGGGACATCGCAGGCGTTCCGCAGAGTACGCGTTCGGATTTATTTCAGAAGTCCGAAGGTATCTATGTCACTCAACAGGAACCTGTGGAAAGTGGATTAGCAATGCCTAAGAAACTGATCCCGCGGTCTTCCCCCACTTTACCTCTCAATTCTCGAGCCATCAACACCGCACTCCCCAAGCCGAAAGTTTCGTATGAATCCTCGATTGCGAAAAATGCGGAATCCACAACGAATAAAATCACTTCGCCCGTGATATCCTCGTCTTTGCCAACGCAACAACGCCATTTGGAGGCTTTCAAACCTTTTAGTGCGTGGTGTGAGAATCGATCGAAAGACAAAATCGGACACTCAACCTCGGATACCTCCGAATCGCTTTACAACTCCACACAGCAGCGCTATTTGGCAATTCAGCGCCGAGCGTTAGGGGCAGGGAAAAAAGTCGGCTTTGCGAGCGGACGAGGGGCTGACGATTCCATCCGACCACCGCGTTCTCCTTTTACCCATTCCAAACCGACTACATCCCAACCGGATAAAAAACCGGCATCTTCCCTTCCGTATCGCCCCAAACTTTACGATAACATGCCGCGATCCGCCTCACTTCCGGATCACTCTGCGCATCCCCCCCATCGGCATGGGATTTCCCCCTCAACCGAGCGATTGCGCGCGTTTTATGCGAATCACCGTTTGGATCCCTCCGGGTTGACTGCCTCGTGGAGTGATATTTCGACCTCTTCGACTTCAATTTCGCCTTTTACCAATACCATGACGATGGCCTCCTCCACTTTTTCGGGCGGCCAGGGGGATCCCACGTTGGCGAAATCCCCCCTTCCCGTGCGCACAACCTCGGCGCGCGCCCAATCCATCGCGGCGGCCTCCTATCCCAGCGAAAGTACGGGAAAAGTGGAAACAATTCCGGATCCCAGCGATGAGGTGGAGGATGAAATTCCGCAAAAGGCGCACAGCATTCCAGAATGCTCGGCGTCCATTTTTTCCTCCAAGTTGGATGCGGCCTCCGCGGCGTCGATTATAGATTATCCTCATCGGGACAGTTATTATTATTTACCACCTCAACCTCATGGGGGCATCCCAACCAAACGTTAGTTGAAGTTTTTCCGTTGTTCGTAGATTTGAATGAACACATGGAAGTACTCTGAAGTACCACATACATTATATATCTACTTATACATATATCTCTATAAACCCCTTAACTAGTGAAACATTCGCTTGTTATGTCCAGATAATGAAGCAGCATAAATGGTAGTGATTGTCATTATCATTATTATTATTATTATTTATTCATTAAGGAAGGAAATGGGTTGCACAACCTTCACTTAGTAACTTGCCGTTCAGAGTTTTTCACTCCTTTAATTATTGGATGGCCGTTCTGCACGGTTTCCCTAAAATACATCCAAGTTCTTTCTGTTGTGTGGTTTTCCCTCATTCCTTACGCAACCCCTAATCTGGGCCCCACGACCTACGCCAAAGGCCATCCCAGCGGTGGACAAATGACCTAACGGGAGACTTGTCCCTAATGTTTTTTAGACCTCTCTAGCCAATATTTCTCCCTTTTGGGTGTTTTTCTCCGCCTTTCTCTCATTTTTTTAAAGAAGGAAATAGACATTTAGGGTACGTGATGGGTGCGTCTCCCTCGCCGGCGATTCCCGAGTCCATTTTGGAGTTTCTTGTTAATTGGCGGTGGGTTTTGCACCATCTTCTGAGCTCCGCGGATTCGACGACCGAAGGGCGGTACCCGCAGCTCTTCGGAGACCTCCGCGCGATGCGTTTGGCGCTCGCCGGCTCCTTTTCCGCCATCACGACGGTCGGGGCGATGCCGTTTGGGGCGCTCGAGATGGCCCGCTGTGGGTTTTACCACCTCCTCCTCGCGGAGCGACTGCTGGGCTGCACCCCGCCCACCCTCCATCCTTTTCTCACCGCCGCGGGGACGGGGGGAAAGAATGCCGCTTCCGCCCCTTTCTTCTCGCGGGAGGGGGGCGGATTTTCGGCCCACGCGCAGGCCATGGCAGCCCTCCTCCGCTGGATGAGCCGCGCGCAGCCCCCTATCCTCCACGTCGAGGGGCTTTTTCTCGCGCTGAATATTTCACCCCCCTCCCGAACCCCCAACGCGGCCGATGTCCCCGCCGAGGTCAGCGAAAAGACGGAGAAAGATGGGGCGTCGAAGTCGTTCTCGCGCTTTGCCGAGGCTGCCGAAAAGCTTTCACAGCTCACGCCCTTTTATTTAGGGGCGCATACCTTCATTACTCGCTCTTTACTGCATTATTTCACCCGTACGGTACTCTCCATTGATGGGATTCGAACGCATACCCGCCATCTTCTATCGCGTGCGATTCCTCCGGCCTCGACGGTGGAGGAGGCGCTCATGGGTTGGATGCGGGGGGTTGTCAAACTCCTCGCGGATGCCCCGGGATCTTCAAACGAGCCGCCCCCGCCTCTCTCGGGCAGTTTTAAACATTCCAAGGATACAAATAGGGACCATACAAGCTTTTATGACAATTTTACCACCCATTCCCTTGGTTCTTCCTCGTTTTCTTCCCCGGTGGGATTTCACTCACGGGCTTGGGTAACCTGGCGGCAGACTTTTCTGCACCTCCCGCGGAATTTCGTGGATTTTCTCCACAGCGGCATTGTCCTGAGTGTGGTGCTTTATTTCTATCATCCCAATTTAATGCCGCTGGAGAAGATAGAGCTCGTTGAATTAAGTGAAAGGCAAAGGGGAAATAATTTAAGCGAAAAGCCAAGGACGAGGCTTCCAGAGAATTCCACCGAGGACGCCGTGAAAGCGAAAAATGAAAGCTTTTCTGACCTTTACAAGGGGGTTTGTTGTGCAGGGGATAGTGCCGGGGTGGGGCACACGCAGGGGGTGCTGCAGAATTGGGGGAATATTTTAAAAGTAATGGAAAAATTGCAAATGGACCCGGGTCTCTCCGCCGACGAGATTGTTTATCACGGCCGCGGCGCGCTTCAACTGCATATTTTGCGCATTATGGAGGCGCTATTCGCGGAGTTGGCGACGCACGCCGAGGAGGAGGTCCGCGCAAGAGTGGAGTGGGAGCTCACCCAGGAGCTCATTTCCCCCAAATTGGAGGAAGACGTCCCACAAATTAACGTTGATGATGCGAAAAAGGAAGAAAATATCCCTGCCCCAGGCAAGCGGGATCTCATACTCCATCCAGCGCAGAAGGAAGTGCTTTCAGAGCAAAGTGCGCTGGAAAGGGGCTCTTCGTTCATTCCCGAAATTGAACCCATCAGGGGTGTTGTTGAGGAATCTACCGTGAAAGAAGCGCCTATCGCGTCCACAGTGAGGACACCCACACCGTTTTCCGCGCTTTCGATATCATCCTTATTTACCGAAACTTCCTTCTCTTTGCCATGTACCCCGCAACCCATTTTAAACTCTGCCTTCTCTAGTCGTGGGGAAGGGGCTTCGCCTTTGACGCCGCCATCTAGCGTCGATTTTCCCGAGAACTCCGACGTCGGGAGTACCGGTGATGAGGAGGAGGGGGATTTTAGTCCTCAGATTATTATGGAACCCTACCGACGAGCACAGGGACGCGGCATCGCCTCGCCTTTAGCGGTCTCAATGAAAATGTTGACGGAATCTCAATCGATGAGGTCTACACAAGGTGCGTATTTCACACCAACGCGGGGTGGGTGTTCCAGAGAAGAATTAAACCTTCTGCAGGCTTTGCCCCCGCCACCACCGCTGTTGTCGAAATTCGTGATTCCATCCCCAACCTTTGAAGGTCTGCCTTCCGACGATGAGTTTTATCAGAACGTGAAGGTTTCAAATTTTATGGATACACTGACGGATCGTTCACGAGTAACGGCCAAAATCTCACCAAAGACATCATCACATATCCGAAAGGACTATTTCAACTCAACAATCTCCAGCACCGCAAAGGAATCATCTGATCAAAAGAGTGATCCGAATCTTCACGAAATCAGCCGCGCATCAGAAGTTACCAAGAGCAAAGAACATTCTGTGGTAATCCTATCAAGAAAATCCAAATTTGCGTCGGTTGATGAGATTGATAGTGAACTTAGAAATGCGGAAGAGAGCAAACTCATAGACCTCCTTGAGGGTCAGATGAATAACTCAGTGGAGTTGCCATCTCGTCGAACGCACAATCGTTCACCGCCTCGATCGGAGATTTTATACACTGAAGATCCCACCCTGGAGAGTTCTTTTTCGTCACGAATACCCTTTGCCATGACGGATGAGAGTGTGGCCTGCTTTACTGTTTTTTCTTCGGTTAAACAACCTCTTTGCAGGAATGTCTGCCAAGAGGGAGAAGCTATTCCGAGCCAAAAAAATTCCAGCATGAAAGCTAGACATCTGGATATAGGAAACAGTGCTGAATGGGATTTACAACGCGTGCGAGGCGCTTCCATATCGACAGGTAATTCCCCCAAGACGAGTTTATCCCCACTTTCAATCGATAAATGCTTATCTGATCTTAACTGCCTTGACCAAGCACCTGAATCATCTTCTTCAACAAGCAAAAATCCGATAACAGGGGTTGGAAACTCAATTACCCATCGCTGTGTTCGCCGAAATGACACTTCATTGCTTTTTCCTCCATCTCCAGAGTCCCGTAAGTCTAAACCGACTAGAAATGAGAAAAAAATGGTACAAAGTACTTCTGAAATCTCTTCTGTAGCTGGTAGGAATAACAATAATATCGATAACCGAAATAACTATCATAGCGGCATCCGACAGCAACCCGAGACGTCTTCCCAACCAGATTCTAATTGTGCAATTCATCCACTTATTGGCGTATATCCAGGCTTCCCTGACGAGCTGCAATCCTCAAGAGCAAAGACTGTTATTAATACGGAGAAGAAGAACCAAACCTTTTCGTATGGTGCGTATTCTGCATCTGAACTCGGTGCGTCTTTTGAGCGAATGCGCGCGTTAAAATCCCCTCGAAAAGTTTACCATAATAAAAACGGCGCTATTGATCATCAAACTCTTACGAGAAGTTTGAACAAATCGCTTCAAGGCAGATCCGTATCCTACGATTCCGTCTTTGCACAACTCGCCGAATCGGACGTGTCATCGTGTAATGATATCGATTTACTACGAGACACCAGTACAGGAAGTGGCTGATGAACCGAGAACCTAAACATGCTTTTATCGTTAAGAAAATTATGTGTTTCAGTTTGCTTATTTCCCTTCCAACCCTCGTGGACTTGTGTTATCTGAAGATACTACATAACGCAGGTTCCCCAATCCGCCCCCCCCTCCCCCCCCAAAAAGGGAAACACTTCAAAAGAAGCGGTTAATGATTTCTTAAACTCCAATTATTGTCATCCTTCTGCTTAAAAAAATAAAAAAAGAAACTTAAATTATACCAATGCGTATTACCCCCATAAATTTCCGACGTTGATGGGAATCGGCGGCGTCTTGATGAGCTTGTGCCACACACAAACAATCCGTACCTTCCAACAGGCCCATCCTGTTGCACTCTGCCCGTGATATTGTATATTCCAAACGTGCTATCCCCCTCCCCCCCTCTTAGATCTAACGCGATCCTTCTTTCTAGGTTGTCACTATAGCCTTTAGTTATATGGTGCCGTGCGTCAGGCTTCACCCGCAGGGAACCCCG